AGATCCAACTATATACTGTCTACAAGAGACACACCTTAGATTCAAACACACAAGTAGGTTGAAAGTAAAAAGATAGAAAAAGATATGCAAACAGAAACTATAGGAGAATTGGAGTAGTTATATTAATAGTGGACCAAATAGACTTTAAGACAAGAAATTTCACTACAAAGAGGGACATTTCATAACAATAAAAGAGCCCCTACATTAGGAAGATATAACTATTATAAATACATGTGCACTTAACAACTAGGCTTCAAAATACATGAAGTGAAAACTGACATCTATCTCAGAGATAACTCAGGTGAAAAAGGAACAGGCAAGGTTACTGTCTCCTGATTCCCCCAACTCCACTCCCCTACCTTATTCTGCCAGTTTATGCAGCATTTATCATGACGTGTTGTAATTATATTTACCTGTCTGGCTCACTCAGATCCTCTTTGTCCTTTGTATGCCCAGTGTATGGCACTCTTTAGTATATACAGTTCTTTTTTTAGGTTAATTAATTAATAAGTGAATGGCATCCCAGGTAGAGGGGGAAAAGCAAAAGAGAGCATGACATATTTTAGGAACTCTTAAGTTGTTCCAAATGCCTTAAGTAGCATTTCCCAAACTAAATTCCTTGATATGTTTAATAGAGTTTGGTGCTCAAACTTAATGCACTCTGTTCCTTTCTTGGACATTCTCAATGCCCATTATTGTGCTGAAATCTGTTTTCATCCTTTCTCAAACTTATTTGACCAGACTTTTATTAATATCTTGAGGAAGTACTCCTCAGAACAGCGAAGAACGCTTTGAGAGGTTGGTGGGAGATGAGTCCAGAGAGCTGGGTTGTAGCCAGACCATGAGAAACCTGGTATGAAATGCTAAGAAATTTTAACTTTATTTTGCAGACTACATAAAGCCATTGAAAGGTTTTAGACAAGGAAGTGTGACATTGTCCAATTTGCATTTTATAAGGATATCCTCGCAGTAGCATAGACCATGAATCGAAGGGAGGCCAGCCTAGGGCGGAAGAGCTGGTTGGAAGGTGATGACAATACTCCACGCAATGATGAAAGCCTGGATAAGGCTATGGCAACAGGAGCAGGGAGGAGGGACTAAATTAAGAAAACACTTAAGAAGCAGAATTGACAGGTCTTTGTGATTAGTAGCAACCGAGGGTAAGAGAGAGGGAGGTGTCTGTGATGCATTCCAGTTTTCTGACTTACACAATTCGTGGGTGGTGATGACATTCATTTGTCAAGGAAGAACTGTGGGGGAAGAGGTTTAGTTTGAGGTACCCAAGAGAATCCATTTGGAAACTGAGTTCTGGAGCTCAGGAGACAGTTCTGGGTTAGATATGAAGAGGTGAGGAATATTGGTTTGGTTAAAGCCATAGGTTTGGATGAGGCTTCTCAGAAAGAGTATACAGGGTAAAAAGGAACTTGGGCAGGAGGTTGAATCTTGGAGAACATCAACATTTAAGATTAACAGGAGAAGAGGACACTGGGCAGGAAGAAACAGGTAGAAGGAAACCATAAAGAATGTCATGATCATATCATCAAATACTAGAAAATCAGACAAAAAAAAGAGGAAACTATCCATTATGTTTGAGAATTTGAATGTAATTGTTAACTTTAAGAGAGAAATTTCAAGGAAGTGGTGGGCTGGAGTGGAGTTTGTTGCTAGCTAAATTAAGATGAGCCAAATTATGGTAAATTGAATTAGAGAGGAGGAAGTGTGGATAGAAAATGCAGGATTCTTCCAAGTAATTTAACTTTAAAAGGAGAGAGGAAGGGCAGTCGTTAGAGGGTTTTTCTTCAGAGAGGCTGTTTTCTTAAAGTTGTATGATACTTAAAGAGTGGGGAGAGCATGTTTGTGTGCCAAGGAGACACCAAAGAGAGGGAGAGCGTGACATCACAAGGGATCAAGCAACACTGCTGGGGAGCAACACTACAGGCGGCAATGGACCCGGCAATATTTTCTGACTATTTCTTCACCATCATTTGGTGAATATCCCCTAACACACAATTTTGGGGATAGATTCAGTATACTATGTGAGATGCAGCTGGTATCCCCACTGTTTTTAAAATTCATTAAACATTCCTCTGGTCAATAATCAACAGCATCCTATTACTTACAGGGAGTAAAAGTAGAAACTAACTCAAGCCCTTTGGAATCTAGTGAAAATCGTGTTCCACAGACTGCATCCACTGCAGCTGCCCTTTCCAGCCAGGCTGCTGTGCTGGCTTGCCCACAGACATGGCTGGTTCATCCTGCTCCCACCCCAGCACAATATGATCCCCTTCTTTATAGGGAAACTGGGAGTAAAACCCATCCTATCACAGCTTACAAGATCCTTTGGGATCTGCCTTCTGCCTCTTTCCAATTGAATATGCAACCACTCTCATCCTCTCTCCGTTCTTCTGACAGGTAAGTACTTCCTACCTCCAGACATTCACCCTTAACTCTGCATCCTGGGATGCTCAAACCTTTGCGCTTTTCACGGCTGGCTCCTTCTCATCCTTCAGGTCTCAGCTTGAATGTCACTTTGTCACATCTGATGAAAGTAGATCTATATAAAGTTGATTCCACAACCCACTATGAATGATCATAATACACTTTTTGTTTCCTTCAAAACACTGAGAAACACTCTCTGCTCATTTTATTTATTGCCCAACCCTTTTCCGCCCAACAGAATGCAGGCTCCATGAAGGCTATACATGATCTCTCTTGTCTCTTTCTTACCCCCAGTGTCTTATACAGTTCTTGGTAAGTGCTTTCATGAATGAATGAATGAACAGCTTATGCATAGTCTCAAACCCCAGCTTGAATCCCACCTTCATAGTTAATAGCAATACTAGCTTGTATGTGCTGACTGCTTACCTTGTTGCAGTGGTTACATGTTATTTTACTTAATGGGCCCCTTCCTCCATTTACCTCCTGTGACCCGTACAGTAGTTATGATCCAGGCCACATTTTATATTTACTCACAGGTTAGCCTCTTGTTTTGTATATAATATATTACATACATCACTCTTTTAGCTCCAGTGAAATAAAAATTCCTAGTGTTCCCCGCTAGCACACAGTATTCAAAGTATGTTGAGTGACTGAAGATATCCCCTAAGGGTTACAACATTAATATACTAAGAATATTTGTAAATTGTCTATTATAAACATCAAACAGATAACCTAATCCAGTTTACAGGTGGACAAAGTCCTTTTTACCTATAAAATGTCAAAAATGGTTAAAGGAAGATAGTTTGAACTTTGGGGTAGGAGATACACAGTTAATCCCCTGGTTTTCCAGAAAATTTGCTAAAATCTTAACTTTCTAGAAAGGATTGTTTAATCTGAGAAAAATGCTTGCAAAACCAAGTTATTTCACACTGAGAAATGCAAGGGTAGGTTTCTAGTATTAAATGTGGACTGTTGGATTTTGAAATATCTGCTTTGCTGTGTTATGAAATCCTAAGCTGAAGACGCACGATTTCAGAAGTCCCTCTGCCCCTCTCTAGGCAGTGGCTTGGGGAACCTGGAATCAATTCTGATGGAGATTGCAGAGAAGATCTTCACAAACTCCTCTAGATGCTTCTACAGTCTGGAAATTCTGTTCCACGCTTCACGTTGGGATTCAATTGCAACCTACTCCTTCAACTTTTCAGCTCATATCAAAAGAAGCACCCCTAGACTCCAAGGCAAAGTCTGCTCTGCTCACCTCACCTGTGACCCTCCCCAAGGCTGGCAGTAAGCTTGGAGTCCCCAAGGGCTCTTGTCTCTACCATTCTACCCTGAATGAGCCACAAGAGTCATTTCTGAAATCTTCTTAGGCTCTGACTACACCCAATGGTGATTTTCTTCTTGGGTTCCTCCCAGGAACAAGTTGTGTGCCATCCGGGAAATGTCACCCAACCTGTTTCTCTTTACCTGACAGGTCCGCTGGAAGCACCCATCCTACTGGGCGTCTTACTTGGTGTGCTTCCTTGAAGAGAGCCTCCCTCTTGTTAAAAGGGTGTCTTCTCTTAATTTAATCTTAAACTCCACAAACCCAACTGTTCTTTTCAGTAGAATATGGGTGATGCTGTACTTTATCCAGGACTCTGTTTTGCAGTTTCATCAGTGGCCAGGGATGTAATTAATGCCATTGTTCTAATGATATATATTTTCCATTCCAGCTGCTTGAAGTTTCTCCTCTGCTAAATAGTTCAGCAATTATCTCCTTGGCCACCACCTGCCTCCGGAGGGAATTGACTACCAGAATGACCTGTTACTTTACAGAGTCCCTGTAAATTAGGAAGAACTCTTGCCATCTGAAGTGATGTCCGGACATAGCTTATTTATGAGAGTGGCTATCTTTTCTCACTTTAAATTACAACTACTGGGGACATGCACATCAAGGTGGCCATGATTTACCAAAATGGCCAGCTTTCAAAATTCTTAAATGTACAACATTCCAGAAAATAGAATAACAGGAAAGGAGACAAAATTTATTGTCATGATCTTGCAGGGCTAGTCTTTGGTAGAGCCAACACCTCGCATTCACTCAAGGGCTTAAATTTAGATACCGGTTTGGTATTGCTTTATTTATTTGTTCATTTACTGTATCAGGAACCGAAAAAAAGGTAGGCTGAACCAGTCCAACCTCTTGGAGGTCGTGGCTCCGGTTCCTACCACTAGCGGGGGGCGGGGTGAAAGGGAGACTTGGTGAGCGGAGCTTGGGTAGCAGGAAATTCAGAGCCAGCTCCCAGGCCTCTAAGCTAAGGGCTCCACGCTCCAGCGGAGGCTCGCGGAGGCCCAGCCGGCTGAGGGGACCTGAGCGTGCCGGAGCCAAACAGACTTCGGCAGCTTCGCAGCCACCTGGGAAGGTGCAGTGGTGCCGCGGCGGGCGCAGGGTGGGGCGGGGCCTCGCTGGAGTGGGCGGAGCCGCGGGCGCGAGGGGCGGGGGTCTCTGGCACGTGGGCGGGGCCCTGGCGAGGCGCTGGCAGCGCGGAGGAAGGGCGTGGCGCGGAGTCGGGGTTGGTCTGGCGCAGGGAGCCGTGTGGGGCGCCGCCGGAACTGCAGAGGTGACCTCGGCCCAGCGCTCCAGCGCCGGACGTGGCCGTGGGCGCCGCGGCCTCCGAGTACCGGAAGGGCCGGGCCTGTGCGCTCCTGGGAGCCGTGGACCAGCGGCGAGCGCGGCGGGAGGGGTTACGAGCGGGTCTAGTTTCCGTTTTCCTCTGTCTCGTCCGGAAAGCCGGAAGGTGTAGGGGCAGAGCGACGGGCCGACGTACCCACTCTGTCCCTCACGAGTATGGCCACAAGGGTGCCCATTCCTCCCTGGGCCGCACCCCTTAAAGCGGTTTTAGGGTACGCCTGTATGGACCCATCTTCCAAAGTAAAATATTGGCCTTTAGCCGTTTCGAAATTGGTACTTTTGGGGAAGGAGAAACACTCCCATAGGGCAGAGGAGATTAACCGGGGGGCAGGGGTGGGGTAGCCATAAGGAACTCACGGGTCCTCACACGAGGGACGCCCCTTTCCTCAGGCGCTGGGGCGTGGAGTTTGACTAGCCCCGGTGTTTTGGATGCCCGCTGAGAACAGCTTCAGGGCTGTGCCAATTACACTGGTTTTAAACGCGTTGCAGCCTGATTTTTTGTCTCCCATCTAGATCCTCGATTCAGTGATGCAGATCCTTTCAGGGTGCCTAAAAGCCACAGCCCAGCTTCCAGATGCAGCCTGAACCCAGCCGGTGTGAAGAGGAGACCCCTTCCCTCTTGTGGGGTTTGGATCCTGTGTTTCTAGCCTTCGCAAAATTCTACATCAGGGATATCCTGGACTTGAAGGAGTCCTACCAGGTACCAGGTATGTGGCTGGTGGGCCTGGTGGATGCCGTGTGCTGCATCTATACCTCATCTCAAAGCTGCAGAAAGCTGGGGGTTAACGGCTTTCAGGAGAGCCTTCCCTGCTACAGGCTTTGAAAATGACCTGGCCCAGACTTTTGAATGAATTCATTTACATACAAGTCAAAAACAGTCTAGATCTTTTTTATTTTTACCTTTTTAATAGATGCTTGGGAGAGTAATCTTTGTACCTAGGAATGTTTTCATCTGCATATGAAATCTTTTAGACTTAAAGTGCTCACTTGCTTTTCTTTGGGCCTGCTCTTAGTGGGAAGCTCACTGGATCAGCATCCCTAGGCTTTAGCTCCCTTTCCTAAAGGTGCCTCTTAACCTGGTCTGGGCATGCGACTCACCTTTAAAGCCTAGCTGTCTTCCTTATAAAATGGGAGATAACCATGCCTGATTTTCTTGTGAGGTTTATATTTTGTTTTGAATTAATCAAAATCAAAGTAATATAAATTCCCTGAGAGGAAGGATATCATCTGCTTTGTTTCACCCACGTAATCTCATGCTTAGAACAGCCCCTGGAATATAGTGAGCCTTCAAGAAGTAGTGACTGGAGCGATAAAGCATTGTGAATGTAAAGTTAAATAATTTTAAAAAACTAAGGAGTGATGGTAGTTAAAGGAGTAGATTTAAATAATTCACACAGCTGTGGCTGGATCTTCGTGTGTTTACATGAGAAGTTTGGTTAAACTCTCTTTGCTGTTTTGAAGAAATAGCAAGCTGTGAGTCAGAAGCAGTCAAGAATCTCAAGTATGCACAGTTTTAATGAGCAGATGTTTTATGTGTTTCCAGTTCTGTGGACAGATGCATTTGGATGACCTTATATTAAAGTCTTTTGTCCAGATATTTTTCACCACACCTTTATTTCCTAATTATTGTTGGAAATGGCCTGTTTTTTTCCTTGGAAGGCAGCCATCCTCCCTCACGGTTGTCCATTTTCCAGAACAGTCTGGTATTCTTCATAGGTCATCTCCTCAGGAAGAAATTAATTCACACCACATTCAGCCTTGCTTAAAGATCTTCTTGCTCAAGGAAGTATCAGGGGCATGCGAGGGGCTTAACTCTTCCCGTGGGTGAAGGACTTTACAATGAATTACCAACAAATCAAGGAAAACTTGCCCCTATGATCTTTGCTATATCCTTGGTGTTAAAAAGAAAGGCACAGGCCCATCATAGTGTCAGTTCTGCTTGGCCAAGTCACCAAACCAGGGCTTAGTAGCTAAACTTTACAGTTTCAACCTCCCCCAGAAATGTAGTCAGTCAGAAATTCTCTGGTCAGCGTCATCAGTAAGATAACCCATCACGTGCCCTTCTCTACCTTCCCTAAAAGAAGATGGGGTCATCTGCAGTATAGGACTCCCCAGCTATTCCCCCTAAGAGAACATGACCTGGCCTGAAACAATCCCTTCTTTTCTTCTGCTAGTAACTTTCCCCTGACCCCCCTTTCTATAAAAACCTTCCATTCTGTGCAATTCCTTAGAGCATCTCTACTTGCTAGAGAGGATGCCGCCCAATTGATGAATAATAGCTTAATGAAGCCAATTAGATCTTCAAAAGTGTTCGGATTAATTTTGTTTTTTAAAACATGATAATTTCAGAGTGCTCTAGGGGAGGGAAATTCCACTTAAGTAATTATTTTTGTGTTGTTTTTGTTGTGTTTGGTTTGGCTTGCCATGGAGTAAAAACTTCTGATTGGACTCCCTACAATTTAGAAATGCCTAAACAAAAAAGAATATTTTGAAATAACAAACGTTAACCCACAAAAAAAAATGATAAATAATAAACAAGTATATAATAAAGAATTTGACTGGCCTTTACCCTTAATTCCTGGAAGATCTTTGTGTGTCCCGAATGATGAGAGTGTCTTTGTTATTCCTGGTGGCCCCTTGAACCATAACCTGAGTTTTTGCTAATGAGATGCCCTAGGGAGTTTCTGGATGGGGGTTGGCCCAGCCTTCAGGACCCATCATGTGATTAGAGGTTTGCATCAGCCCCATCCCTTGGGAGGCTGGAAATTGAGTTGTCTATGTGGCCAGTGATTCAGTCAGTCATGCCTGGGTAATAAAACCCTAGTAAAAACTCTGGACACTGAGGCTCAGGTGAATCTCCCTGGTCGGTAATCTTACATCATGTGTCAGGAGGGTGATGTGTTCCAAGGACATGAAAGCCTTGTGCTTGGGCTTTGCCAGATCTTGTCCTATGCGTCACTTTATTTGGCTAGTCCTGATTTATACCCTTTATATGAAACTGTAGTCATAAGTATAGCACCTTCTCACTTCTGCATACCGTTCTAGCAAATTATCAAACCTGAAGGAATCATGGGAACGCCCAAATTTGTAGCCAGTTGGTCAGAAGTGTGAGTGGCCTGAGGACCTCGAAACTTGGAGCTGATGACTGAAGTGAGAGCAGTCTTGTGGGAAACTGTGCCTTTACCCTGTGAAATTTTACCTTACTCTGGGTGGGTATTTGACATTGGACTTGCCTTGCAAAATGGTTGCAAAATGTCAACCCCCCCACTAAATTAACCTGTGAATTTAGGGTTAAACTAATAAAAAGTACTATGAATTTTGTGGTGGTGGTAGTGCTTAGATTTGGGGGTCTTTTTATGTATATGCACATAAATGGCCTTTGTTATTCTAAATGTCTCCATCCATGTCAAACTTTAATGATGAAATAAATAGTGAATCTTTATTTAAATCAAAATACAAAGCCTGTATTATCTCTCAAGAGTCCAATGAACTAGAAATAATGTATTCATAAGAATTATATTAAGCAAATCTGTATTTTAAAAATATTTTCCTGGGCATTTTAATGCTTCAATAAGAGAAGTTGTAGCATCAATTAAATAACAGCAGTTAGAAAAGAGAGAAATCAGAAGTTTAAAAGAGAGTTTAAAAGTTTAAAAGCTTTTGAAAGAGAGAAAACACAGGCAAATGTCTTGCTGTGGTTATGACTTTTCAGTGATCAGCTGCTGTGAAAGCTGAACCAAACCTGTCTGTGACCCTTCTCCTTCCTGGGGACCTGTGATCCAGGGGTCCCCTGATATGTTTGGGCCTCTCTGAGTTGCATGTGGAACAAAAGGCAGTGGAGCAGAAGGACCCCTTGGGAGGCTGTGGCTACAGCCTCTGAGCCAGGGCCAATTGTGGTTACTTTCTTTTCTCAGCTCCTGGAGCTATCAGTCAGCAGAGCTGCCATCCAACTCTCTGGAGCTCTTTTCTCACAGAAGAGAATCTTGTTTTTTGCTAGCAAGAAGTGGTTCTCTTCAATTCCTTTTCCATGCTCAGAGCCTCCTTGTCCATCCCCTAGGACTCTGCCATGAGTGACTGGTCCTCAGCCGCTTCCTCCATGTGGGAGATGAGAACGTCAGCAGAGGGCCAGCCTGGGGGTTCTGGAGGGCATCGGGATTCAGGCCAGGGAACCCCCTGTGGCGCAAGTGTGGACAAGAGAGGCTCTGACCAGGCCTAGGGAAGAAGCAAGGGAGGTGGCCAAATGCCTGAAGTCATTACGATTTCTCTGTTTATAATTCACATATTTAGTTCAAAAGGGAGTTGTCATTTAGAAATTTATAGCCTCTTTCGGAAAGTAAAGAATTTGGCCAGCATGGGGAGAAAAAAAGAGACTGGAGTTTAGTCTGGATTCTAACTGCAGATGACAGGAACACAATGCGGGAAGCTTGAGCCACAGTAGGGAGTTCAGGTAAGGATATTGGGAGGCTACAGAAGGGGAGCTCTGCAGGGCCAGGAGAGTTTGGGGATCTCAGGCTGGAATGAGGGACTCACCGATGGATGTCAGGAGTCCCTCTGCCTGTGTCCTGTCCCAAGTCCAGAAAAGGCCTCTGGGTATTAGTGGGTGGGCCTGTTCTCTCAGGTTTGCCTTCTGGTGGAAATCTGCCTGCAGGTATCTCTCATCTGGGTTTTGAAAATAGCATTTTTTTAAAAATTTTAAGTTATGATCTGCAGGCCCCAAAGGGTAGCATTTTGCAACCTATTTATCTTTTTTAAAAGAAGTGCTACTTGCTACTTCATAGAAATGATGACTGGTTTCTTAGAAAAGCACTAGTAAGAAAGCCAAAGCAGCTTTCCTCTCTCCCTTTCCAGTCTCTCAAAGTACAATGCTCTGTTTGATCTCATAATATGACTGTTTCCAGGCCCCTTGTGAGAGTTCTACACGCAGGTACATTTCATTTTCACAAATGGAAAGAAGATAATCAAATCTAGTTGGCAACACTGATTTTCTCCTTTCAGTACTAGTATAAGCTTCTTTAAAGCCAAACTTTTTACTTGCGACCCTTGAGGAAAAGGTACCTGAATTTCTTGGAGCTTGCCACAGGTCAAGGGCTGATTCTTCAGTTTGGGATTTCAGCAAGCAGCATACTGCTGATTTTGGCATCTACGTTCCACCCCTATCCCCACTGATGGGGATTTTACCAAAGCAGAAAACATAGTCATACATTATATGGACTTTCTACCTTTTTCTTTTTTTTAATTTCAGGTATATTTTTGTACAATGGGCATCCAATAAAACAGGTAGATATCCTGGGAACTGTAATTGGAGTGAGAGAAAGAGATGCTTTCTACAGTTATGGAGGTAAGAACAATTGTGTATTTACTAGTTAGCAGAGCACTGAATTTGAAAGTAACCCCAGCCTTTCTGTACAGCCGGGGACTCTGACAAAGTCCATGTGCTTGTCCTCTATTGGGAGCCTCCTGGAGCTGCTGACATGGACTAAATGTAAAATAAGGCAACAGGTAGGAATGATACTGATGAATACTGTCAAGTGACAGCTCTGGGGAGTTAGGAAGTCAAAGAATTAAAATACAGCAGTATAGGATCACTGGCTAATCAGGGACAGACACCTGATACCTAGGTCATAGCTATAAATAGCAAAGGATAGTAATATATATTTATATTGACACCGTTAAAAATAAAAAAGCCAAATTAATATTAATTAAAGGCTTTTTAGAAACAAAGGGAGTATGAAAAAATTTCTAAGATTTATATCCAGAACAGTTTTTTAAAAATACCTTTTGGTACTCAAAGGAATAAATAGCCATTATCAGAAATTTTCCCCTCCCTCTTGATGACAGAGATTATTAGATAAAGGGTTTCTGTAGTTTGGATACTGGCAAACTGGTAAGTTTAATGTCATAGGACTTAATTTGTTTTCATTGAGTTTAGTGCATTTTGATACATTACTATGTGCAGCTATAAAATCTCTGTAGTTAAGCCATGCTAGATATTTTGTAGGAAGCTTAACTTGGATTCCAAACCTTTGCTATAATTGATATTTTCACTTTCTGTTGTGTTAACCTTGGATTTATATTCTTGCTCTGCATGGGGAAAGATAAAAGGCAGTTGAACTAGGTGATTAAGAACATTTCATTGGCAGTCTGTGATAATGTACAGATACAATATCATTACATTTCTTCAACATGTATTCATTTTCCTGAAGGTGATTGTCCTTTGCTTATAAAATAACGTGAGAGATGAGGTTTTGCATGCCCTCTGCTTCTTCCCAGCATGTATTTTTTTTAAACTCTGAAATAGATCGTCTTGTCAGGCATCCCCATACTGGATTTCTTCTCTGTTTTATTTTACCAAAGGTATTCTATTTTTCTCCAGACAGCTCAACAAGTACTCACTAAGTTCCTATAGCATACTCAGCTGTGGACGAGTACATTATCTGTAGTATAGTAAAATACTTCATCTCCAAATACCAGTGATGAAGTAATAGTTTCAGTTTACCAAGCATTTTTACATGCTTAATTTACGTTATTCTCCCCCTAGTCTTTTGAAATACAGGATACAGATACCATTTCCATTTTGTAGAAGAGAAAACTAAGGCTTAGTCACTTGCTAAGGTTCCACTGATAGAGGCTTATAGGTCCAATCCATTTGCTGGCTCCAATGTGCTGTACAGTCCCAGATAATTCAGTTTGATTTTTTTTCTCCCCCCTCTTCCTCCCTACCCCACCCCAAAAAATCAGCTACATTTGTCTTTTACTTCTCTGGTTTTTAGATCAAACAAACGAGGCTGTTTGAGGATGTCAGTCTTGGCACTAGCACCAGGCCAGATATTCTGCTTATAACCTTCACTTAATCCCTTTTTCCATTATAAAAAGATTAAGGTAGTATGTTTGACTCTTCCCCAATAAATCCTTTTCCTTAGAGTGGCTGTTATTAGAGAGTAAAGCATCTGTGGGCTATGGGAAAATGAAAAGCATCTGAAGATGGAAGTAATTGAGAGAAACACTTTTGTGACTTTAATTCTTGTGAGGCCTTCAAGGTAGAGCTGTACTCGGGGATAGCTTCCCTGCTGTCCTTAGGCACTTCGTGGCTCTTGGGCTGCCTGCCAGGGGGCCACTCCTGCTGTCCTCTGTCCTGCTCCACCTGCCTTACCACAGGCGTCTGCCGGGGGTGCTTCCTGCTCACACTGACTCATCCCATAGCTGAAACAAAAGGCCAGGTGGTGCTGCTCAGCTGGGAGGGACGTTGTGTAGCACAGCATGGATGTCCCCTTCCAGGGCATTCCAGCAGCCAGGCAGGCCTTGGCGCCAGGGCCCAGGATCTGCCTTGAGAGGTTACACAGTCCGAAGGTTTGGTGACAGATTGCCTGGCAGCAACTCAAGCCCAGATCTAGACTCCCAGGCTGTACAGTTAAGGCCAGAATGCCCTCACATTTTCTAGAATAAATGTTCATGTACTGGTATTTTTTGACTCCCCCTTATAAATTAAGATTTTAAACTGACCAGAGAAGTGGTAAGCCTAGAAGTGTCATGCATTATTTAACTCAATATTCTTACTGGTTTTTTTGCTTCTTAAAATAATAGTCATTTTAAAATAAAATTTAAAATTACAGAAAATTTTAATGAAGTACATGGAAGTTGTGTGAAACCCTATTAAGACAAAAACAATGTCATTGTTTGGGTGACCATTCTTCCTAATATAGATATGCCTTATTTCCTCGTACTATTATACATTATTTCTCTCTAAATAGTTCTGAAATGAGCTTATAGTCAACATATAACATCGAATGTGGAGTTCCTTCCTTACACTCTAAAAGAAACTCCTGTTAACATTTTAATGTCTTAAAATAATTTCTGTCAAAATATACTATTTAATGTTTTACATAAATTAGATTATGTATAAGATTTGTTTTACATGAATATCTTTTAACATCAATGAATAAATCTTCATAACTTTTATTCTCATGTTATGCCATTATAATTTATTTACTCAATTCTATAGTCATAAACATTTAGGTGATTTCTAACTTCGATTACTATAAACAATATTGCAATGAACAGCCTTTTGCAAGTTGTATATATCTCTGTTTATTCTGTTTTTCTCCCCAGAATAAATTTCTAGAAGTAATTACTAAGTCAGAAGATACATATATTTCAAAATTCAAAACATTTCCAAACTTGCTTTTTAGAACTTTCGTATGAATCCACACTCCCACTAATAACGTATGAGACTATCAGTATTTTCAATATTTGTCATTCTAGTAGTTGAGAAATTATTTAAATTTGCTTCTTTTTTTCTCAGGCACCTAATGAATTTAGTGTAGGCCACTCATATATCTTCCATGACTTACATATTCTTTTCCTTTGCCACTTTTTCTCTAGTGGTCTTGGTCTTTTCCTTATTAATTTCCATGAACAGTATATATTAAGATACTAAACCTAACATTTGGAAAATTGCAGTATAGTATTAATGTTTAGTTGGTCGAATATATCAGACTTCTTAAAATGAATTCAGATTTTCAGATCTCCTTAAAGAAGTCTTAAAGAACCAATTATAAGTCCAAGCTTAAAAAGTATTTACCTTTATTTTCTTCTTACCCTCTTAAGTTTACTTGTTTTATATTTAATAAAATCCATCTAGAATTAATTTTAGTATAATAGGTATTCTTGGCTTCTCCTTTCAACACAGACTTAAACCAGCAATTAAAAAATGTTGCCTTATGTTTTTCAATATTACATGTGCTTTTACAACAGTCTAGCTGATGATGTTTTTAAAACCTTTAAGCTCACCGACTCCATGCTTAACAGCCCTTGTTCTGAGTTTGCCAGAAACTACGCAAAAAAAAAACCACTTATCATCCCATAGCAAACATCTCCAAATTCCTCTGCTGTTATAAAGCTAAGTGTTGGTCTGCAAGGTCTTCAGAAGCTTCCCACGTATAATCTGAAACCTGCCCTTGTACTTAGAGGGCAGGGAAAGACTGAAGAAAAGAGGCAGGCCACTCCAGGTTGGTAGGAGGCAGGTTTAATAAGAAGGGAACTTACGTATGAGGCTTGTCTTGAGTGGCCACAAGGTGAGTAGATCACTTGTCAAATCTTAAAGTCACCATGATTGGGTCCAGTCATGTATACAGTCCAGATGGTCTCAAAACCAATCACTATCTCAGGGCTGTGTCCTTGAGGCAGCCTCTGGGAGAGGAGAAGGCAGGCAGAACCCACATTCCAATAAAAGAGGAGGTGGTGAGGAGCCTTTGATTGGTGGGGTCTACTTCTTGCATTAACTGGCAGTCGTGTCTTTTTGAGGACATTCCCCAGCACCAAGTGCAACAGGAATTCTTCAGGTCTTTGCACTAGGGGTAAAATGAGCCATACCAGTATTGTTTGTGTGACCAACATATAATTATTTTCTATTATGAAAATAAAGTGTTAACCTTCAGTGATGTACATGGCTTTCCATACGTGCCCAGCAGTAATAAGAACTGGGCAGAAGCTCGTTTAAAGAGAGGTCAGGCCAAAAAGACTTTCAATGCTTTTGTCTTGGTAAGTTGGTGAGCTGGTGAAAGAGCAAATGGTGACAGAAGGTTACCCTCTAAGTGCCTCTAACCACAGACCATGCAATCCTCTCTTGTTTCCCGGTAGGAGAGCAAAGCAGATTTTGTATGTTAGCAGTTATTGAGGTTTTTGCACTTAACTTCCTGAGGACACCATTTTTTAGGAGAGGTGTAGACAACAACCGTTAGTATCTGTCAGGTAGAGTGGATGAAATGTTGACTACATTCCACTGGGCTCATGTATTACATTGATATATGCAGATAAGCATTTCCCACGGGTGTATTAGTAAGAGATTATTTCTAAAGGTAGAAACAGAGTTTGCCAAGAGATTTGCCCAACCAGGCTATTGAAAAATGTCATCATGCTCATTCACCAACAATGCCCAAATCCCTCTTCTACCCCTTTCTGCTTCTCTTACAGTGGATGATAGCACTGGAGTTATAAACTGCATCTGTTGGAAAAAGTTGGACAATACTGAGCCTTCGTCAGGTAATTTTGTTTGCCACTCTGCTTTTCAACTAATCAATGGGTTTTACACAAGATAACTTACCAGACAGCTATAGAGCTAAATTTTCACATTTATGCACTGGTGATTTACGTTGATCAGCTTGAAGCCCTGTACCCAGAGCTTTGGCTACTCTGCAAACTGAGACATAGGGAAGCCAGTTGTTTTTCTTTGTCCCATTTCTTCAGTGCTCCCTTCCTCCTAAGCTGATGGGATGGAACGGAAGCAGGTTACTAGGATTTCAGCATTTCATTTTTACCATGTCTGTTATTATGCAAGTTAAGTTGTTTTAGCGTAATTGCTGTTCAGGTTAGAATTCTCTTGGCCTGGGCTTATCACTTGACTTATTATTTTGAAGACTTTTACTCTTAAAAGGTTGCCACTGACTTCTATGCTGCCATGAGCCAGATTTTCTGAAATTTCTACATGTTCAAACAGATATACCAGAAATTCTGAGATGAGAGGGTAAGATAGGATTCCTTTGAAATTAGCTATTAAATAGTATAAACTGAAAAAGAACTTTAAAATTTTATATTGAACATGACTATAATGGAAAAAGCATTTGAAATTTCTTGAGTAGCTTTTAATAGTTCTTAGGTATTTTTTTAAATTTCTTAATTTCATAATATTAAAAAAATACTGTGCAATATTGGAATGATTTTGGTTCTTGAGAAGGTACAGTATTTAGGGCCTTGTTTTCTCTTTTTTACAACATACACAGTATGGTGGCATAAACAGCAGGGCTGTTCAGTAATACTGCCTGCTCTGATATGTAACATGTAGTGTCTGTCTCCTCACGTTACACATTGTGAGAGTGTGCAACCCTAGAGTGGTTTCTTCTCTCCTTTCTCCCATTACCTGTCAGAATCTCAGCTTCCTATTTTGGTTATACTGACCAGTGGAATGCTCCTTTGTTGAATTTTCTGATGTATTTACATTTAGCATTTGGCCATCAGTTTTACTTAACTTTGGTATTCCCATTTCCCAGTTTGTGGACATCTAAATCAGTGGCACTGCTTTGCTTAGGAAGTTTTGTAGATAAAAAAAGAAAATTAAGAGACAAAACAGGTTTTTATGCAGACATCTCACAGGCAAAAAATAAACCTTTAACACAGATATTTGAATTTTCATATATATCTATGGTATAAAGTCATTTCCAGATCCATGGTTATTGTATTGTCACAGTCTTCAAACAGAAGGTGTAATTTAGATATGCATACTTCTTTCAGACAGAAGGTCAGCAAACTTTTTCTGTACAGGGCCGTAGTAAATGTTTTCTGCCTTGTGGGCCATGTGGTCTGCCTCTCAACTATTCAACACTGCCATGTAACTCAGAAGCAGCCATAGACAGATAAACAAATGGGCATGGTTGTGTTCCAATAAAACTTTATTTATAAAATGAGGTTGTAGATGAATTTAACCCATGGGCTGTAGTTTTAGATATTGTTTTTATTTTCAAAATAAACTTCTTTTCTAAAAAAATGATACCATCAGGATTATTATATGACTTTTATACTCAATAATTTTTTAGATAAAATGGTTATTAATACCAAGAATGAGATTTTTAAAATATCTGTAAGTAAATGATCAGATGAATAGTCACAGTGGGTGGCCTTAATTGGAAATTGCTTTGAGACTAGTAGAGTACAGGAAGAGGCCTGAAACTCATTCTCATCATGTTGTATATGAAGAGACATTTTAAAATGGTTCCCAACTCATTCTCTCCTTTTAATTTAATTGCTCTCAGTTTAAAAGCTTCCCACTGGAAAGTGGCCAACAAGACTAATTTTTTTAAAGAAAATTTAGTCTGAGCCAGAATCACTTCCTAGCCCATTAATGTATATGAATATTATATTAACTACTATAAATGTCATGTTGAATGTACCGTTTGGACTTAGCTTCTGAGAAAGTTAAGAAAGCTTGGCCCTTAATACTAGAATTTTAAAGGGGTGGAATAGGCTACGTAAAATGATATGCTGTCAGGCTGGAGCCCTCCATCATAGTCATTAGATTACATATGTCGAGCCCTTCTTTCAGCAGTTTGCCTGGCCCTTTAGACAAAAGCTGGGCCTCTTCCTCAGACCAGCCTTCCATCTGATCATTGCAGCAGCACTGTATAAAACATTTGTTATCATACATTTGAAAGTCAGCCTAAGTGGAAGAGGACTTGGGGACAGGAACACTGGTGAAATAACTTCGTAAAAAGTAGTACTTAGGTATTTGTGGAAGAAACCCAGCAAGCTGAGTAACTTTAAAAGTGATTGTGTCTAGATACCTAGGTGTTGGTTCCTGGAGACACAGAGCTCCCTGTGCTCCCTACGTTGCTTTTCCCTTGGTATGGCAATGTGTAAAGAGAAAAGTGATGACTCTGCATATTACAAAGCTACTGTTATCTAAGTTGTATTATATTAAAAAGCAGAAAATTTGATCATAGACCTAAAAGAGAATTCATTCCATTATAAGAACCCTAGTACATGACAAACCAGAAATACAACATAGGAAATAAATCAGCATTTAACAAATGTTGGTTTAGGTAGGTAATAAAATTAAAAAAGAGGTAAGTGTGATCCCTATCTTGAAGCTTATATGAAATAACCCAAAGAAGATAGAGTTGTATATTCACTGCAATAAGTATGGTGGTATATATGTTAAACTCTCATAAGTCCCTAATTACTAAAGCATTGAAAGCTATCTTTACCAACAAGAGGGTAAGCTAAAAGATTTTTTTAAACTTTTATGTAATAAAATGAAATTGAATAAACATAAAAGAGAAAGCAGTGGAATGGGGAGAGTGGGTGTAATTGGCATAACTGATAAAGCTTCCCTAAGAAAATTTCCAGAACCTAATATAAAGTATTCAAAAAGATGAAGGGCTTATACATAAAAAATACAGAGAGTAGTTCATCTTGTGTCAAAATATGTAGCCTCTCTGGCAGTTTAAAAGCAAAATAAAATAAAACAGCATCATTATGCATTTTTTAAGGTATTAAAAATTCAAATGACTAAAGACAGTGTAAAGGCTGCGGGCCTGCACACAATGCTTGTTGGTGCCATCTTGTAAAGGAAGAACGGTTTGATTAGTTTTTTTTTCTGGCAAACATTCTGGTAATATGCAGTGAACTATAAACCTGTTTGTATTTCTCTATCCAGTAATCCCCAATGAAAGACCCCAAAGAAAAAATCATATTTTCTGTAGGGCTTAATTATTCATTTTCACAAATAGCTGACATTTATTGAAAATCTCCTATGGATCTAACATTGTGCTAAATTTATGATATAAGAGTTAACTTAGATCATGTACAATATCTTTATGAATGAGATGGACTCTGTTCTTATTATCAGGAAATAGGCACTGTGAGGTTAAGCAGCCTGCCCAAGGTCACACAGCTGAGATTTCAGCCATGTCTGCCTGACTGCATTATGCATTACCCAAGAGCTGACCACTAAGCCCCATACAGAGTTAGTGATAAAAATAAAAATAAAACAGTATAAAAGGGAGGTGGTTGAAATATTTAATGAGACTAGCTAAATAATCTGGCTAAACTGGAATATTAACATGGCAGAATGCTGTAATGTTACTTAAAGTGCTGAGTTGTACAGATTCTGTGGATACATATATGTATTTGCAATTATGCTCCGCAGAAAATCAGAACACAAAATTGTTTACATGCTGGCTATAAGCGTGGAAAATATGAGAATACTCATGGGTCAGGCAGGCAGCAGAAAATAAAGAATAAAAGGAGTCTCCTGAATCAGAAACTGCCTGGGTTCAAACTTCAGCTTTGTGGGGTACTAGTTTTACTTTAGGCAAGTGGCTTGACCTCTCTGTGACTTGGTTTCCCCATCTATAAATTGGCGCTAATAATAAATAGGAGTTGGCTGTGAGGATTAGATGTGCTAATACATTCCAAAGTCCTTAGAACGGAACCTGTATTACCCAAACACTGGTGGCTATTATCATTAATATGGAAGTAAATTTGAATGATAAAAATTATCTAGAATTAAATGTGCATTGGGTTCTTTTCACCATCAAGTTGCTTAGGCTTACAGTTTTAAGTGGTATAGTTTTTAAGTGAGTATGTGTGTGCATGTGTGTGTGTGTGATCGAGAGACAGACAGATTAGCCTGTAGAGATTAGCCTGCTTACCCAACAAATACGAGAGGTGAGAGACTAGGGTGTTGAGCACATAGGTGGTAAATCAGCCAAAGGTGAATTTGCCTTCCCCATAAACAGAACTGCAAATGGAGACTTGGGGGCTGCACTTATGCCAGACCTCTCCCTGCAAGGATACTTTAAAAGGTTGTTTAGAGTTGTTGCCACCGAAGCTAGCTGAACTCATGTAGAATTCAGCTCAGGACCACTTAGAGCCCTTTGACTGCACTGGCAATGCAGGGGTGGGAAAGAAGACTTTGGAGCCACATCAGAACTCACCCACTTGAGTTGTCAAGCCTCTTCCTAGTCTCTGTTCCCTTCACCCTACTTCTGAGTAAGCAATAGTTTATGCCTTTTATTCAGATAGTTTCAAAAGGTTATGCCGACTTCAGAAAGTTACTCAGGATTTCAAAAGGTTAACAACACTTCCTGCAGTAGAGCAACTAATCAGAACTGCAATAAATGTCTTGTGTTGGTTTTACCCTAAAACGACCTCACAAATATGGTGGGAGTGATTATGTTATGCATCGCTCCCTTTCATTCTGGACCTACAGCTGCTCCAAGTGCAAGAGAGCTGAGCTTAACCTCCCAGCTTACGAAGCTGCAAGAGACCATTGAGCAGAGAACAAAGATAGAAATTGGAGACATTATCCGGATCAGAGGTTATATCCGCACATACAGAGAAGAGCGAGAAATTCATGCAACTGCTTATTGTAAGCACAAGATATTTCTGCCACATTGTTTGTTATTTTGGGTGTATGTACAGTTAACTCCTGTTTGGCTAAAAATCAAGCTTCTAAAAAGTTTAGACAAAAATATTTAATTCTGTTTAATGGAGGAAATTATATTTCATGACATGCTTTCTTTAGAAAAGCAGCACTTCCTAATTTTATTTTGAAGAGAGGTAACTAAATAGGAAAGAAAACAAATGATTTATTATATATAGCTGGCAAATTTATTTGGACAACATAATAGAGTTTCTAGAGTACTTTGAAGTTCTAAGTGTCAACCCATTTAGGGCAGAGTGTCCGTATTCTTTAAAATGATAGAGATTTCTTTTGAGTCCATTAACTTTGAAAAAAAAATTAGCTTATCAGAAATATGACAGTCCCCAATCTTTGCACTGCTTGGGCTGGTTTTTGGAAACCTCATAAAATAAAATCCCTGTGTCCACCATTGTACAGAGGAGTGAATAAGCTAATATGTTTTCCTAGTCCCAATCTGCTCCTAACCAAGCCCCTGACATCAAATTTCCCCTGGAAGGATGACTGGGAACCATTTATTGCATCTAGAATGAAAGATCCCTGGATACCCATGAGGGAAGAAACCCACTGAGTGCCTCATTTACTGTCATCCTAGCAGTAATTTGTACTTGGGAAATAACTGATATCCGTATAATTTCTGTGGCCTGTTAGATAAAGTTGACGATCCAGTGTGCAGCATTCAGATTGCAAGGCTGCTTGAGCTGCCCAGCATCTACCGGAAGATTTATGACCGGCCTTTCAGCAGCCCAGCCCTAGAGAAAAAAGAGGCACTAAGGTAAGTTACAGCCTGTCACTGCTGAAGATGTGACCACAGCATTAAGGCCAAGCAGTAGGAGCCCAGACGCTGGGGTGGGCCTGGGTTCAAATCCTGAGCCACCCACTTACTCACCGTGGGGCTGTGAACAAGTCCCCTCATCTCCTGTAGGTCTTGTGGGGAGGTAATAATAGTAGAGATGTTCTGAGGTGGTTGTGAGGAAAATATGTGTAATTGGAGTCCCTGAGGGAGTGGAGAGAGCAAATGTATGATAAAATAATGGCTGAAATGCTTTTAAGTTCCATAAAAACTTTAAACACACAGCTCTAAAAAGTCCAGTCAGCCCCAAGGCCAGAAACTAAAGAAAACCACCATGTCCCATCACAGTCACAATGCCACATTGTGACACATCGTGATAAAAACTGCAAAAAATGAATCCAGCTGTTCCCAACCAGGAATGATTTTACTGTGGTGTGTGTGTGGGGGCGGAAACAGGAGGATTAAGAATATATGCATATTTGCTAGTAGATGACATCAAGAACTCTGGGGTGGGATGTCAGGATAACAATCAGTGGCTTCTGGGGAATTGGAAGGAGGATAAAGAGGAAACATTTTGCTGTGTACTCTTTAAATTTTTGTATGTGTATTTGTTACATATTCCTAAAAATTATGTTTAAAAAAAAAACTAAACTGTAGACCTCTATAAAGTGGAAGTCCTCCATTTTCCTATCTCCTGCCATTTGAGTACCACTTCCCAGAGGTTCCCATTGTTCATAGACTGACGTGTATCCTAGCAGGCTTTTTTCTTCTATGCATACACAAACATGGATGTTCACCCATATATTTTGTGAGTTGTCACTTGCTTTTTTACAAAACTGGGACCATATCTAATCTACTCTTTTTAGCTTGGCTTTTTTTTTTCTAAAGCTGTCCTGAATATCTTAGTTCCCATAGTTCTGCCTCATCCTTTCAAACAACCACAGTATAAATTGCCCTTTATGTTAAAAACAAGCACCAATATAGTGTTGCATTTCCTTGCTATGTTTCAATTTTATGCACCCCAAAAAGCAACAAAAGGGATGGTTTTCTGCAGGGCTTTTTAAATTTTCCCCCCGCAGTCATTCAGGTGCCTTGGATCTTGCCAGTCTTACGTGTTTGCTGAGTGAGAAAGCCAAAGAATTCCTTGTGGAGAACAAAGTACAAACATTTTACCAGCAGGAATTGGAAATGGTGGAGTCACTGCTGTCAATTGCCAATCAGCCTGTGATTCACAGTACCTGCTCTGAACTAGTAAGTGTAACATGCTCACATGAGAATTCAAGTCTCCTATCCTAAATCTGCAGCTGAAGGGTGTAGGTGAATGTGACCATGGCATTAAGACTCAGAAGGTGGGCCCAGGGATAGAGACTATAGTTCTATCATATGTTGTTTCTGTTCTGGAAAGGTCACTGACGACTAAGAATTTGAAATAAGAATGGACCTCTCCTTTTTCCCTCTTTACTTCATCTCAATAAGCTTTATCTGTGGGTAGAAAAAAAAAGTTAAGGTTTGTAACTTAGTTCTTAGTACTTACTGAGGTGGGTAGTTAATCTTCAGCAGGAGCCAGATGAGGAAAGAAATAGATGAGAAGAGGTGACTATCCTTTCAAGATGACTTATTGACCAACAGAGTGATTCTTGAACTTGAACCAAGGTTTTTTAATGACTTGTTCCGTCTTCTCCTGAATAAGGTTAAACTATTGTGCTTTCGGAGTTTGAGTAGAGACCAAGTTGTATTTAGTCTGGTTGATAAGTAAAAATTTCAAGGAACACTCAAGTAATCTCTTATTCCTCCTGGAAAGAGCTGTCCCCATTCATTCACCCCTAGTGTTACAGATGAGCTTAAGTTGTTTGGTGTTTACTAATTTGCTTAGAATTAAGAATCAGTTGAGACTTTGGTTTTTGATTTTCCCTTTCATTGCAGCTTTTAGGATTTTTAGTATTATAGCATGACTCATATTTATTTAATTTATCCTGCCAGAGAATGACCTCTGTTTAAATGCCACCTTCTTTCCCTCCCTGACCATCTTCTCTGTTTCCGTATTATGTTATCACCTGATTTTCATATCTCACGATATCACTGGTATTTGTTTGCTGGCCTGTTCCTCTGCCAGAATTTAAATTCTATAAGAGCAGAGGTCTTGTCTGTCTTGTTCTTTGCTTTCTAGAACCAGGGCGTAGAACAGGATTGGTACAAAGTAAGTTCTCAATAATTATTTGTTGATAGAAGGAATGATGGCTTTGAACAATTTAAATAGGCCCTGAAAATACCTACTTCAAAGTAAATTTCTTTCCCTTCCTCCCTCCCACCGCCTTTCCCCAAAGATATCATTACTGGTCTCATGAATATCCTTCCAGAGATAGTCTGTGCATATATAAACTAGATTTAGTTGTGTCCCATTTTTTTAAACAAATGGCAACATGCTAAACACAATACCTAGCTTTTCATTGAATATTGTGTCTTATAGATCCTTTCCAACCTGTACACATTCATTTGCCTCTATGTAATAATCTTTTGTTCCACATACCATAATTTAACTAGTCTCTCCATTCTTGCACTGTTTGGATGTTTTCCAGTCTTGCCATTACCAACAGGGCTGCCGTGAATACCCTTGTTAGGTAGCAAAAGTTACTCTTCATGATTCTGGTGGAACGGATACCAGGTCTCCATCCTGACCTAGTCATGACCACTGCTTCTCAGGTTCATTTGCAAGCCTAATTATCTCTTCCTGGCACCCGGCTATGTGCCCAGTAACCCGTGATTTCATACATGGAGATGAGAGATAGAGCTTCAGGAAACACCCAGGTGGAGAGGGTCAGGACTGTCCCTTTTGTTCTGTGCCATCGTTGTTTCTGAAAAGTTGCAGCTCTCCAGCTGTCCGCTGACAGCAACATTGACCTTTCCACTTAATCATTCAGAGGAGACTTAATGCCAGGCTGGCCTCCTGGGACTTCTGGCCACTCTGTCGGCATGTTTGAAAGGAAACTTTGAAGCTTAGCAAAGGCTACATTCTTCCTGTGAGCCAGCTCTTCTGTGATAGCTATAATTAATTAGAGAGATTTGAGGATGCTGAGGACCAAAAGCTGCCTCCACTCACAACAGTCCTTGGGGAACTTGGGCGTATCTTGGTGAAAATACTTAGAGCAGAAACTTGTGTCTGCCCAGTGTGCTAGGTTTAAAAGTAAATGAATGAAGGTGGCACTACATTTGCTCTGTCTTTGGAAACTGTTTTTCCATAAATTGTGAATTATTCCCTCACAAAGCTCTGGTTGAGGAGGCCAGTGTCATTAAATTGAGCCTGGGAGACTAAGGATGCTTTACGATGATGCTGAAAGCCTCTAGATCCTTTGGCACTTCCACAGAAATCACTGTGATGATGTTATAGTGTAGAAGCAGGGGGAGAGTGGATTTGAGTATTTTTCCCCCTTTCTTTTTTCCCTAGTGGCCCTCCTTAGCAAATCCAGAAACATGATAAGCAGACCTTGACAAACCATTGTGTTCTTTGACAGCTGGATAAATGTTGAGTGTGTTTGGGAATGAAGACTATATATATTTCAGAGATCCACCCAGTTCCTGACCCGTGACAGGGAGAGGCCTGCGAAGGGCTTAGCACATTCAGCCAGTCACTGTTTTTGTCTCTGAACAATTTTGGTTTCCTGAAATCAGATGAAGCTGTCATAGACACAAATCCCAGGCCAGAAAAAGCTACTGGCTAGAAGAGGTGATTGGAGGCTCTACCCTTGAGATTCTGTTTTTATAACCAGTAGGGAAATACGTCCAGAGGTCAGGCGAGGCAAATGTTTTTGGAAATGAAGATTTGCATATTGTTTATATTTATAGAGAGCTCTTTCTATTGGGTCCTACGTGTTCACAGCTGAAACTGCTTCTAATCCTGCAGGCCTACTCTTGCTGCCTGCTGCTCAATCTTACTGAAATCTGGGAGGAGGAGCTGCATTTTTTGTATGGTCTAGGAGTAACCAAGAGTCATTTTTAATGATGGAAATAATTGAAATAACCATGTAACAATCATTTCTAGTTAGATTCCAGTTTATTTCCTTACTGGGAAGAGATAACAATAAAGTCAACCCTCAACCCTTTGCATCCTTATGTTAAACCAACTAAAGAAGAAGAGTCTCCTTAGAGTTATAAAGATTAAGAAGTTAAAAGTTTTGTGTGGCATCTATACTGGGTTGATTATGCTTCCCCTAAATAAGAGCATTCATGTATGACATTAAAAACAGCTTTGCCTAAAGCCCCCTGAGTAAGATTGCAGCTGAGATTTGTTAGGTGAGATGTTTATTCTAAACACACTGAAATATCTTTTCTGCCTGTGGGAGCCATCAAGTAGTTCTGGGCCTTACTCTCCCTTCAGAGAATGGGTGTTGTCATAACCTGGAACGTTAGTCAACTTTTAGGCCCTAATGGTCTAATGACCAGATTCCCTAGCTTGCTCCTCTGTTAAGGAAAAATTTATTAAACTATTAATTCAAGAGTGTTATTAAACTGTCCTCTTCAGTCCCAGAGAGCATGTTTTTAAACATCACCAGATCTATGTGATTAAAACAGTGCCTGTTTGGGAGACCTCTTCCAGAAAGAAAGGTTTCTTGAGTGATGGAATTGTCAGCACTTGAGGCCATTTGGGGGTTTCTTTCCTCTCCCTATTACTGGGGGGAAATGTCTTCAGCAAATTTCAAGCACGCTGCCCCAGATGGCCTTCAGAAGTGCCTTCGTTAGGGGTAGGACTTTGCTTTCAAACACTTCTTTAGAATCTTTGCCACGTTTCCTTGGAGCTCTCATCCCTTTTAGTATCTTTTTTTTGGTATCATTAATATACACTTACATAAGCAACATTGTGGTTACTACATTCCCCCCATCATCAAGTCCCCACCACATACCCCATTACAGTCACTGTCCATCAGTATAGTAAGGTGCTATAGAATCACTACTTGTCTTCTCTGTGCTATACTGCCTTCCCTGTGCCCCCCCTTATTATATGTGCTAATCGTAATGTCCCTTTTTCCCCTTCTCCCTCTCTTCCCACCCATCCTCCCCAGTCCCTTTCCCTTTGGTAACTATTAGTCCATTCTTGGGTTCTGTGAGTCTGTTGCTGTTTTGTTCCTTCAGTTTTTCCTTTGTTCTTATACTCCACAGATGAGTGAAATCATTTGATACGTGTCTTTCTCTGCCTGGCTTATTTCACAGAGCATAATACCCTCTAGCTCCATCCATGTTGTTGCAAATGGTAGGATTTGTTTTCTTCTTATGGCTGAATAATATTCCATTGTGTATATGTACCACATCTTCTTTATCCATTCATCTACTGATGGACACTTAGGTTGTTTCCATTTCTTGGCTATTGTACATAGTGCTGTGCTAAACATAGGGGTGCATATGTCTTCTTCAAACTGGGCTGCTGCATTCCTAGGGTAAATTCCTAGCAGTGGAATTCCTGGGTCAAATGGTATTTCTATTTTGAGTTTTTTGAGGAATCTCCATACTGCTTTCCACAATGGTTGAACTAATTTACATTCCCACCAGCAGTGGAGGAGGGTTCCCCTTTCTCCACATCCTCACCAACATTTGTTGTTTGTCTTTTGAATGTTGGCCATTCTAACTGGTGTGAGGTGATATTGTGGTTTTAATTTGCATTTCTCTGATGATTAATGATGTGGAGCATCTTTTCATGTGTCTGTTGGCCATCTGAATTTCTTCTTTGTAGAAGTGTCTGTTCAGCTCCTCTGCCCATCTTTTAATTGGATTATTTTCTTTTTGTTTGTATATTTTGGATGTCACCCCCTTATCGGATATATCATTTATGAATATATTCTCCCATGCTGTAGGATGCCTTTTTGTTCTACTGATGGTGTCCTTTGCTGTACAGAAGCTTTTTAGTTTGATATAGTCCCACTTGTTCATTTTAGCTTTTGTTTCCCTTGCCCAGGGAGATATGTTCATGAAGTTGTTAATGTTTATGTCAAAGAGAGTTTTGCCTATGTTTTCTTCTAAGAGTTTTATGGTTTCATGACTTATAGGTCTTTAATCCATTTCGAGTTCACTTTTGCATATGGAGTTAGACAGTAATCTGGTTTCATTCTCTTATATGTAGCTGTCCAGTTTTGGCAAAACCAGCTGTTGAAGAAGCTGTCATTTCCCATTGTATATCCATAGCTCCTTTATCATATATTAATTGACCATATATGCTTGGGTTAATATCTGGACTCTATTCTGTTCCACTGCTCTATGGGTCTGTT